GCCCAACCATCAAACTGACGTCACATTTCTGTAATATTGCCCCTGGAGAGTTGCCTCTATATTGCCTCTTTAAAGAATAATCTGATAATTCCCTTTGAAATGTATGTAGATTGGAAAAATGAAGTGGTCTATCATCAATCAGAACAGGTCTCTGGCCCTCAATGCTGTGTTAAGTAGCACTGATGGGGGCCGCTGCAGTGTGGAAGGTGTAAAGTGGATCTGGGCCAGCAGGTGTCGCTGCGGGCTACAGAGAAACACAGCGGAGAAGAGACGGGGCCAGGCCTGGGAATTCGTTCCCCGCTTCCCATTCTTCCTATGCAGACAGACACACAACATGGCGGACTAGAATAGTCGGCCGACGCGCCCGGATACAGCGGATAAACCCTGGGATTTAACATCCAAGAAGGCGAAGAAAATACCCTCCGAAGAGACGCTACAGAAGGGCGAAATTCTAATTTTTTTGGAGGGGGCGCTTTCTTTACCCTGGCTTTAGCGGATAAACTGACTGTGAAGTGTTGGCAGTGCGTCCCAGATCGTGCTTCCCTCCTCTGCTATCACCCTGGTCCCCCCCCACCTCCACCCCACTCACACTCTTGGTTCCTGGGGTGTGGAGAAAGGGGCCGGGGTTGAAAACGTGGAAGACAGGATAAATTCCCACTTGGCTTTCATTTTCCCCCCCCTTCTTCTTCTCTCGCCTCCCCCTCCGGTTTCCTTTGGGCTCTACAGGAGTTGTGGTGAGTTTTCTTGTTTTTGTTGCGCAAAGCAGAATCCCACTTGTTACAATGTCGCTCTACGAGCATGTTTCCCCGTGTTGTAACATTGTGTCACCCTCAAACGAGCACTTTCCGTTCCCGTCCCCCCCTTCCTCCCGCTTTTTACGTTACATGATGCCGTTATCGATTGGGGGGGCTCGTCCACGGAGCAGCGCGGCGTTTAATGAGTTGTGAGCCTCCCTGTAACGCCTGAACATTTCAGAAGTAGCTCGGAGGCAGGGAGGGAAATTTTGGCGAGAGGGGACTCCGAAGAAAGGAGGGGAGGGGGGAAGCTTTAAGAGAGAGTGCGACAACATTTAAGAAGTTGGTTTTGTTGTGCCAACACAGATGCTGTTGCGCTTACGCTGGAACAAAGAGGGGGTGGAGTGGCGGGGAGAGGGGGTTCCAGGGTTGCCTCACTGGAAAGTACACTTTATTGATCAACGCTTTGTTATTACACGTTCAGAGAGGGAGGGAGTGGAGCTGGCTGGGTGGAGGAGCAAGGGGGGCTTCATGCGACCCACAACAGGAATTAGGTCGCCCTGACGTTAACGTGTATGCTCTGTCACATCACAGCGGCTGCTTTGTGTTTCCTCACCTCTTCAAGATGGGGGTCTCACATGTGTGCTTTCCCAAACTTTTTTCTTTTTTAAATTATTAATAATAGTCCTCTCTCTTTCTAAGCTTTGGGTGTATCCAAGCATACAATTTTAGTCGTGTGGGTGTTGATGGCTTTTTAAAATTATTATTATTTCAATCCTCTACTCAGACTTGAGCAGTGATTCGTGATTCCCAGCTCATCAGAACACGGATCTTGTTGTAAGGGCTCGCTTGTCATTGCCAGTAGTGGGAATTGACATTAAACATCGGTGGCATAACTGCTGCAGCCGAGCTGAGCATCAGCGAAAGAGTGTGAAAGCCTCAAAGTCAGAGCAGAGAGAGGGAGAGGAACATCGTCAGGCTGATCGGACATGGCAGAGACTTCCTTGTCATTTCTGGGAAAAGCCTCTGCTACAGAATGTCAGCCTGAAGCTCCGCTTATAATGCTTGGTTCAGTTCACTGAACTGTGGCACATATCTATACACCATGCTTCACCATGTGTGCCTCCCCACAGCAGGCATTCAGCTTCACTTGAGGCCGTCATGTCATGTTAGGACCATCCCAGTGCACAAAACCTCCCAACTCCTGTGACTCTTCTCTCCAGCTTATCCTGACCTCTGTCTGTCAGGCCTGAACATATTCACCTTTCACCCTGTACCCCATTAAAAAACAAACCAAACCAAAAAACTGTAACATCATATCTGCCTGTCAAACATCACCAGCACCTTGAAAGCCGTATTGTGGAAAGAGGGAAAAAGTTTGCTTTGGCAATGCGGCAGAAAAAGGCAGGGCTGTTAGAATCGTGCTCACTATGCCTGTATATATCTTTGCACCTATTCTAAGGAGAGAGAAAAAAATGAGTTATTTCTGTCTTGTTGGGATGCTGTCAGAGTTTTAGCAGAGGAAGTGGAGTGATCATCCTCGCACCACATTTTTCACGATTGGCCTAGTTACTAAAAATAAAATAAGTATAGCTTGAAATCACTTTGTGGGAACTTTGCGTCGAGTGTCAATGAGTGGGTGTTTAAAATAATGGCCCGTGTGTTGTGAAATTTCACAATTTCAGGGCTCTGACACAATATTATGAGTTTGCTTTTTGGGTGGGGCTGGAGGTATATTTTTGTTTCCACCTGTGGGCCCTGTATGTTTTGCTGAGGAAGAGCACTGTAATTCAGCCTCTCGCGGGATAAACACTGCTCCATTTAGAGGATTATGATGCATTACAGGGGCCTGATTGAAGCTACATGCGATATGTCAATTGGATCTTAATGACATTTATTCCACAATACAGGAAATGAACCTGTGTGATTACTAATGACTGACTAAATATTGTGCCTGGCTAGAAAGGACGCCATCAAACATCCTTCAGCTTTGCCCTGCCTCTCTGCTGAATGGAAATAGTAATTATGTAATATCTTCAAGTTGTTTAGTCAAATGTTTCTTTAAAATCTTCTTGATTCCGGCTGACTGGTGTTTCTGGTCGCTCACGCTCATAGCAACGATTAACAGTGGGTGTTTTTGTACATGGAAAAGTACTTTGGATGTGCAAAGAGGTTCTTTTGATTTTTGTAAGCTCACGTGGGTCCACGTCAGTCAGGAGGATCTGGTTGCCACCTTCCTTTTCCACCATAGTGTGTTAAAGCAGTGCTGTTTCTCCCTTTTGGGGGATGTTAGAAATCAACATAAAGGATTACTCTTGGCTGTACTGCAGTACTGTAACTACAGCTACATGAATACCTTTTTTTCCTCATATGGCATATGTGTTATTATAGCCAGTAATTGGGTTTAAAACTTTTTTGTGTGTGATTTCTGTTCATAAAAAGCAAGAATTTGGAGCCATGTTGAACATTTATGTTGTGTTAGGTTTTCACTTTATTTCAAATGAGTGCCTATGATTCACACTGAAGCTATATGTATTAATATTTGCCATCGGCCTGCCAACAAGACTTGTTTTGTCCTGCTCTGGAAGAAGGGGGGGAGTGCTCAGAGAGCCTGTAAGCAAGTGAGTAGTTTTTCAGTGCACCACCTAAAGGTGAAGCTGGACAAAATGGATTTTAAAGAGAAGCCAAGTCATGATGTTGCTTTGAAGTCAAGTCCCCGGTGATTATGTTATTATCTTAGATGGTTTTGTTATCTTTCAGAGGAAAAGGAGGGGACGGCTGCAGTAGGATGACTACTTCAGATATCAGAGCTGTCATTTTGGGTTTCCATTGATAGAGATCCAAAATAACCAAGGGATAGTTGGCAAGTGTTGCTGGGAAATTGAGCAATGCCACCCTGTGCATGTAAACCTGTATATGTGTATTTTTTTGTATAAGCAGTACTTAACCGATCATGGAGATGTTTATTTACTTATATATTGCAAATTAGAGCTTTTTTTTCCTTAAATATTTCCTTTCCTTAAGATTTTTTTCTGGATGTTCCAATAACTGCTTCATGGTTTTGTTGTCATGTGACAAAATTAAATTAAAGAGCTTAAAGGGAATAAATCAATAGGACATAAAATGTATTGAAATTATCCGCAACTTGACCACAGAGTAAAACATCAGTAAAAGTAAATGAGTAATTTCTAATGCAGTAATAGCCTACTCACTGATGGGGGCTGTTTTCTGTATTTACTCCTTTGTATACGTGTGTCTACATTTTACTATCATCAATAGTTGGTATCGGCTCAGCAGCAAATGTGGATAGAGGGGCCTTTAACTTGACACCTGGTTAAGGTCGATTTTATGGCGTGTTATTAAATTCTATACCCCTTATGTTGTATTATAAAGAAAACATGTAAGAATCAAACCTTCAGCTCAAATTTGGCGACCTCAGACATCAGACCAAGCTTGTATAATGACGGAAC